GGTGAGTGGCCTATTGGGGAGTAGCTACCAAATCCACTTTTCCACTTGTTGATCAGTCGGTCACACAGCCAATTAATGAGCAGGCAACTCCTCTCTATTCCTTGTGGCCAAACTAAAAGCAGTGTAGCTTGAAAGATTAACGACAGGAAAGATGTGATGTTCACCACCAAAATGTTCTTCAATCCACCATCCGTGAGACGCTCTTAAGTTGCTTTTTTATTTTAATAAATGCGTTGAAAAAGGGCATTTGTTTTGTCCCTATTTACCCAAAGGTAAAGACCAGCCTCATAAACGCAGAGAAATCAGTAAACTCGAAATGGCGTTAGCTGTCATTAAGGTCCCACCATTTCATTTAATTGGATCGGATGTTCTTATACATCTTGATTTCGAGAATTATTTACGTATTGGAATGGTCTTATCTATCTCCCAGCTCCAACCTTTACAACAAGGCATTAAAAAAACGACTACTTGAAACTTTAGCGTCTTGCAGCCTCTGCTTGGGTTTGAGGTGATGAGCGGGCTAAGCAGACTCCTTCAGTCTTCAGGGTGGTGGCCGACTTTTCCACGTAGCCATTATATTACTTCAAATATTTAATGTCCTATTTTAATCAGTGGTCCCGGATTAGTAGTCTGAGAAGGAGGCTTCGATGAACCTACCCTGGACACCCTTACTGAAGTCGTACTAGGCCGAAGTACTGTGGAAGTCGGTGCTACACACTGGCTTACTTCGGAAATGTGAGACTACCCGATTGGCATGAAGACTATGCCGCATTTACTTTCTTGATTAACCGTTGCCACGTTGGTCATTTCTTTAAAAGAAAATACCTTCTGCACTTCCATTGAAGGCACCAGCATCCGCTTGCCTACCAAGCGTTCCATTTGGCGTGTAGGCGACATATTGACAGTGACAGTGGTAGTACAGCGTAACTGCGATCCAAGTAATTTGCTGCCTGCATCAATGCGCATTTAGGGACTTACATATTAATTTTCTTTTACAATTGTCTACTTATGTGCTATGTACTTTCCCACCTGTCTAACAACCCAACTACCCACTTACTTACCTTCTGCCATCAACACGTTGTGATGCTTGCAGGTCGCACGAGGTGCACACACCACACCACGCTGTCTGTATTCCTTCGACCTCTTTCCTTCCACTTCCTGTTTTCTAGATTCAGTTGAGAAAAAAAGTTATCTGTAGTGCTGTCCCCCTTTCGTTTTCTATTGCCTCGCCTTTTTTTCTGTTTTAGGGGCAGACACACATGGGAAATAAATGATTTGAAACAGGACAGGCAGGATAAGTATAGTCAACTGACAATAAAGTAAAGGAATTGGCTTTTGCACTATCCTCCAGCTTTACAATTCACTGAATAGGAATTCTGCTGCCAGCGTCGGGCATTTGTGACACGTAATCTATGCCACGCTATGATGGTTGTATTTTATTTAAATCGTGGGTTGTCTCATGACTAAGAACAAGAAGGGTTTTGCTGGGCTGAGCCTGGTATGCCTCCTGCCCTTCGCCTGGGACGTGATGGGAGTGGACCTAATAAGGTGAATCATAAAATCCCACTGTTTTATGACCTCTGCGTCTTTATCATTGTGTGCATCTCACTTATCACCCAGTCGTAAACGTGGCCACGAAAGTGCCTC